CCCTTCCGTGTCTGTTGATTTCTGCATCGATGCGATATCATCGGTGTTCTCCTAAAAACAACGAGCAACGTGCAACGTTCTAAGGCCAGACGGTGGGCGTGTCGTGGCGTTAGCGCTGCGGCAATCGCCATGCTAGGTAGCCGAGAGCATATCCTTCGCTGCAAATTGCGTGTCGATCCGAACCCTTGGGAGGTCCTGTCTTCCAACATGTGGTTTCCCTCTCCTTCGACCTTCGACCGTGGAGTTTCCTTGAAGGCTGAAGGTTTTCGGGGTGAATTTTCGAAGTTTTAACAAAGTTCCAGAAAGTTTGCATGCTTTCTCAGTTTCAACTGTTTGCTGGGCAGGTAGCCGCCGCTTTGGACGGGGGTCGTGCTAGAAGAGTTTCAATGCTTGGCCACTGTAAAAATCGTATTATGTGTTATGAAGCCGGTAAAAACTAAGTTTAATATTATATTATGTTCAGATTCTTTGGTGTTCACTAGCTGCGAGAATATGTTCTTCCAACAAAATGTATACCTTTATTGCTATTTGAAATCTGAAGTGAACAACGAAGCGCATTTTCTCATAAATACAAGGATAAGTAACTGATTAGGTGATACCTGACGCAAAACCGTAAATAACAAAGGAGAACACAGGGAGCTAAATCATCGGATTATCAGACAGTTCAGGAAAAAATTGCGCCACCACGTCTCTATTGAATATCGGCGTTAGGCGTACACCATCGGCCCAATCTCTAGCCAATGGTCGATTCAGAATCATTGAGTCCTCGTTCATTCCTGGCGGACGGAGCATATCTTCGATTGATTTGGTCATCGTTAGTGGCAGTTTCGCCGAGAAACCCAGTGTTTGAGGCCTCATTGGCTGTTGGGGTATGGTGAACTGATGATTACAACTGCCACTATTGGAACTGTCAGTGGTGGGAGCGCTGGAGTACGCTATCAGATCTGAGGTGGAGTTGGAGAAGGAGAATGTGCTAGGAGCTTCTGGAGGATTGCTGGCACGTCGGTTCGACATAGTCACCAACAAATCAAACACTTCGGGATTAATTATATCGGTAGAGAATCTTCTGGTAAGGCAGCGGTTTTGATGGCGTCTCGAGGAAAGGATCGTCGTAACGTCGGTAGCAGGGTGGATGCGATGGCCTAGAAAAATCCAACATAGCTAAGTTTTTCCGAGAGAGGAATGAATTCTAAATGTAACAATTCAGTTTAATAAAAATCACCATAAAACATGTAAACAATCAAAACAAGCAGACTTCAAAGTGGAGTATTCATCTCAGGCATTTCGAAAAAAAAACGTTTGGTTTGTTTTGAGAATTTCCCTAAAAAAGCTGAAGTATTGAATGTATGATAAGAGCACATTGGGCTTTTTCTGAGATTACTCCTGTTATGCTCCAGATTTTCAAAGCATCCGTTTCATAGAAGAAT